GTCTAAAGTTGGCCAGGATTCATACTTTAGAATTTCGGGGTCAAGGCTTTCCAGTGAAACCGAGTTCATTTTCAGTGCAGCACACGTGGATTTTTGTGGATGACTTGAAAGACGAAACATTTATCTGTCGAAATTCCATCTGCTTTTTTACTTGATATATGTTTGTATTGGCTTGAGACGGAAGGAAAAAATGTCAGCAAACTCCCCATTGTACGGGTTTTTACTTCAGAAGCTCTGTGTAGTTGGCAGTTAGTGTTCTATCCTTCAGCCTCTTACTCAACTGATACAAACCTTGTACCACGCACACACCCTAATGGAGTGTATGTTTTACCGGTCAGACAAAGGTCACAAACAATCTCTTGACGAACTGACCCAACCCAACCCACCTACATTGTCCGTGTCCGCATAAATTCCGTTTATCACCCCCTGCTTCCATGAGCATCGCTTGTCGTTCACATTCTCCTTTGTACGGTCTCTGGTCTGTTTTGTGTATTTGTGGCTAATTTTTCTTATATCATGCGGTCTCTTGCATACTCAATGGAATCTGGCGGGCAGTCTTATCTGAACTGCATTGTTTTCTGTGCACATGTCAGCTTATTTACAACGATGAAAAAATTGTTTACCAATTCCACAGAATTAGTACAAACACTACGTTTATCCTATTTATCAGTCTAAACGACATGCATGATGTTGCTAGGTTGTCATATCTCTTTTATCATTTTCAGTGATTTACGGCATATTGATTCAACATTATGTTGATTACGTTTGCGAATGAACAATTATTATGTGTATAGGGTATGCACGAAAATGAGCTGTGATTTTTTCCATGCCTTTTTAACCTCTGAGCCAGCACAGACAATCAGGGTACATTAACCGGATTCGAAGTGTCTCGAATTACGCTAAACGGTTTCGTAGGGACTAATTGAGTCAATGGGGTTCTGTATTGTGGTTAGATATTTCGCAATCGATCACCGAGGTTCTCGGTTGGGATAGACGTAAAGTTTTTTACAAAATTAATTTTGTGGTTCATGGTTGACCTGGGTTTCTGGTGCTTATTACCGTTGCGTGTATGGTTCGTTTTTTTAGCTTCGCTTGAAGCAAATAGTTTGCCTCTATGGCTTGTGTACCGGTCACATTTGTTTTTTTCGACTTTGACTGCAAATGCAATGTCCACCAGATGTTATAGTACTGTGGTTAAAAATGGTCGTGGATTGCATCTGTCTTTTTCCGCTCTCTAACCAAAGCAACAACAACTGAATATGCCATCAAAAATTTGGTTTCCGTTGCAAAGCATGAACACTGATCAGTTCGCTTTTCGCTGTCTGCTTTTCCCTTTTTCTAACTCAGACTTGGTTCGATTCACGAACGAAGGACCCGTTGACGAGGAGCGTCTTTCCAAGTCAGTGGCATTTATAGTATTCGATAATATGGAGTTTTTGCTAACCGCAAAGAACCGAAACACTCTATCAAACTTGCTGGGTATCCCGGGTACCAAAGCCGATGAACCAGGTCAGTTCTTGTGGGACCCATGTTACTCACCAAAATGGGTTGGATATTTTTCCCTTTCTTAAAAGCGCTCAGGCACAATAGCACAACGGTCCAAGTAAAATTCAATACTCTCTGAGGCATTTTTATCCCAGTTTTGCCTTTTGCCTTATCTTAAAAAAACATGTAGATCCATGAACTATTCGTCGCCGAGTTGAGACACTTGGAGCGGTCCTGAATGAGTTGACAGGCTCCTGCGTGAGACTCGTTTATCGGTCACTGCAAGGAGCGAGAAGCACAACTCAATCGGGAAAAACAAAGATCCAGATTTCACAAACTGGTTAATTTTTTGTTACTTGTCATTATTTTCTGTTACCAGAGTGCATCGCGCAAGATTGTTGCACTGAAAAGAATGTATTCTGTCCTACCCTGAGGATTTCATTTAAAAATTGCAAAGAATATTTATTATCATTTATATGGTTACTTAAAGCGTTGTATTACGATGTTGGATATCGTGTATTTGTACATTGTTCAGCCTCTCTAATCACCTGAGATTCGTCCCACTGCAGCAAGCAGGACCAAAAGATACCAGGTGTAATGATTATTGTGAACGCATTACGAAGAACTCAATTTTAGCTCTGTTTACTATTTGCTTCCGTGACAAGCTATAAAGTCGAAATGCTACTCTGAAAACGTTATGCAATTTTGGACCGATTGACCTTGAAATAAAGTTTCTGCCCTTAAAATTTTCAATACATGACAGCTAGTAATCTAACAATGTTTGGAGAGAGAGAGTATTTCTCAGGCGAAGAAATAATAACAAGCATGATTAGAGACAACGTGCAGTGTATTTCCGGTATTAAGCTGTGGTGGACCAGCTTCCGTGTGAGCTATGCAGAGCGGAATCTTTACTGACGCTTGGTAGTTGCAGCAAAGATGTTATACATCACTCGTTAGCATGTGATGCTCTGTTCTACCAAGACTAAGCTTCCATTCATCGTAATTTTTTCCGCTCTATGGGCAGTAATTTATTCTAAGACTGAGAATTGATTCTTCTGCTGGTGTGTCAGATAATCGATTTCTTAGGCTTTGAGACATGTTGTCTCCAGATTTATGATTCTGTTGTGTGACAAGCAACTCCCATAAGAGTATGATTGATAGCCATAAGACAAATTCGTATACATGAAATCGATCGTTCGTTTACTGCGCTTAATTTAGTGTACGATTTATTATTAGCTGAAAAACTACGCGATGAATAAAGGATTCCTCTGGTTAATCCAAGGGTAGAATTGGCGCCAGACGAACACAATTCATCCGACACGGTCAATCGACGAGTTATTTGAGTGTTCCGAATTCAATACAGACGATCGTTGTGGCATCGAGAATAGACATGAGGACTTAGTACGGAGCATAGACGTCAACACATCATTCGGCGCCAAAACCTGTGAACTGGATTTTTGGAAAAACGATTAAAAATCTTTCGTATATTTTTGTAATGGATTTACAATTTTTGGGATGTGGGGTTTAAGACCAAGTTATATGATGTGCAAACAACCCTGGGGATTAACGGATGATGCACTCCTCCAGCGAAGTTTGACATCAACTTCGATATATTCGTGTTAGGTATAACCGGTTTTCATTCGCCCTGTGCGGTTTGATCTTGCTATTTTTGGAGATAGATGCATAGGATATGATGATCGTGAATTATCATGGTGTCGTCACTGTTGTGCTCGTCGTGGCCTAACGATTTTTAGGAACAACTTTAATGAATTTAAGCTCTATTGCAACTAATTGAATAGATCAACCTGGTAGAAACCGCCCCAAAATGGTTTCAAAAGGTGAGAAAACTAAAATACACAACTACACGTTGGTTTCATTTTGTTTGATTTTAAACAAAGCAGAGTGTTATGGCAACTCTTTTACACGCACCCCCCCCCTCATGTATATGTTAAACAACATCTAAGTTCCAGTTAACCCGGGGTCATAAGTGTCTCGGAAAAACTCAATTTATTTGAGAGTGGTGGACGACTTGTTTTGGTGCTAATGCGATGCCAAAATCTAAGCTCGAAACGATGGGTTTTACTATATCTTCTACAGGGAATATTAAAACGTGTCTGATCACCTGTCCAGCGGCAGAGTGGTTAGTATGTTTATTTCCTACTTGTGAGGTCTCGAGTTCGATCCCCAGTCTGGTCGATGTATTCCCACTGCTTATGAGACCCGTCTGGGTGTGTTCTTTCTGTACGTATCGTTCAGATGGCTTCAAAACTTGCGCTATATTTTCACTTCCCTGTATACACTCACAGTACGGTCAGCTATCTTACTTTTCTCTGATGCCCGCTTGCTTCAAATATTCCAACCAATTTATTACTTACAGTATTGCACTACATCACTCCGAGTGCGATGAAGTGTCGATGAATGACTGTCGAAGCTAGGCTCTGAGGTCAAGTATACTGCTGAAATTTCTTATCGTACCAGACAAAACGGCAGACAACGAAAATGCCGTTTATTCACTCATTTGAGAAGTTCTACCGATCAGAAACTGTTCATTTGCATGAATACGATGTGGACAATAAACTCCGCCTGCGTGTTTTATTTGCTGGATCCAGAAACGCAGATAGCATCGTGTGAAATACATGGACTTTTCAACGTAACACCATGACCAGATTGGACTTTAGATCATCAGTCTCTCTTTTTCATATATATATTTCACACACGTCTGAGTTCAGACTGCGTGCCAAACAAATCGCGGTACAATAACCTTTATAAAAAGAAATATGTTCCACGATTTGCATGTGGGCCGAATGCTACCAGGTTGCCCAGGCCAAGGCAGGTGGATCCACAATCGGAGCCTTCGGCTAGCCAAAGTCTGACCCTCAAAGCAGCGGGCAGTGTGCAGAAATCGCATGTACAACTCAATAACCGTTAGGAAGATTGCGAATAACTCTGAACAATGATCGAATGAGAAATGCTTTGGCTGTGAATTCTTACATAGTGCACAGGTTTGTGGAGTGATTTTCCATTTCATTTTCGTTAGTTCATATAGCGCTCACACGAAGCGGGGATCTTTTTCGCTGTGTTCATGACTAGTTGACTGGTTATTGTTTTTCGATTCATTTTCTATCGTTTTAACTGTTTGAATTCATGGTTCATATGCTGCTTGTTTTGAATGCATAATTAGCAATTTCACACGCATTGCTCTAGCGGTGTGTTTTGTGATTCAGATTTCGTTCCGCTTGTTTTCTCCTTGCATTTGGGATAGGAAAGGCTCACATATTACGCCATTGTGTGTATTCTAGGGCTTGGCATAATCAATCAGTTTTTTAACATGGATACCCAGACCTGCGAAAATCAGTGCATTACAGGGAGATATGAAAGCATGTTTGGCGTAGTTGATCACATTCAGAACGCACATCAACTATCAGAGCAAACTCCATGATTTCGAAAAATTAAAGATTGGCAACCTTTCTACCAATTTCTCTACCTCTTACGCTCTATGGTTCATCAGTTTGTGACTGGGTTGTTTTCTGTCAGATTTTGTATCACTCCCTGATGTCTGCTAACCTTTCGAGTTGTATATGATCTCCCAACTTCGAATAAATTATCTCTTCCAAAAAGCCGTTCCATGATTCGCTAAGGTTAGAAAATTGTGCTTTGACCAATAAATCCTCCTGCTTGTTTGGGAGTTAACATTTGGTTTGTCTTATTCCATCATTTAGGATTCATGTTTCTCACACAATCGATACACAGGAAACGTTATACTCAAGGAATTGATGAAAAACTAGTCCCACTGTGCGTGTTTTTCTAGCAACTTATTTCACTGATTAGTTTGAAAACAAAGAGGGTTTGGTTGACTGAATCCCAACGAAGTGGTTTTTGTTTCGATTAATGATAACGTTGACAGTGAACCTTGCTGCAGTCAAGCATTTGGAGCACGTTATTTAAAGTATAGGGCATTTACCATAATAACAATAGTACTTACTTTTCACTCGGTGTTCAAGTAGCCAATCAGCGTTTGTTATTGATAATGACGGCTGCCCAAACACTAAAGGTAGATTATGGTGTGACAGTGCGGTTAATTGAGTGCTTTGATTAATTGCCGCTGGCCTCTGACCTGTAGAGCAAAGTTGATAACCCTTTCACCTATACCTCACTGAGTTGTTATGTCCCTCCGTTGTACTGCACTCCGACAACCCGTCTATTGGGTTTCATTTGATGTTCCACGCTTTGTCGCAACTCAAAGTAAAACCTGTTCGAAATGAAAATCTGATTACCCACATTTTGGAATCAAAAGCTGGTACAACTGTCTCAAGCCCAAATATTAAGAACTGTGTAACTGACGCAGTGACGCATAAATGACGGGGATTCAGTTTCAGTTTTAACAGTCGTTAACCATGCATTTTTTGTGCACCGGTTTTAGTTACTGTCTGTTGGCTGCCCATTTGGATGAACAACAGGCGAAAGGCAGGAACGATGAAAGTAGAGTCGAATATAAAACGGAGAATTTCACTGGAGTAATGTTGCAAACAAATTGAGATGTACGAACGCCCTTGTATACGACATTCAGCCATATTAATCAGTGTCTCTAACCAGCGATTACGTTCATCTCGAGGTCCCCAGTACCCTGGTTAGGGACTCCATCTCCTCGTTCCAGGTCTTAAGTTTACTACCCTTGGCTTTCTTCCACCATCTGCCTCGGCAAACATCACTCGCCGTGGCAACCTATCTGGTGACATGCTTAACACGTCCCAACCAACGTAATCTATGAAGGCCATCTACTTGCTTCAGTGAGCGACTGTGATTATCTGAAACTTTACGTCTGACCTCAGCATTACTCGTACGGCTGCCCCACCACATTCGTGCAATGCTGCGTAGACAGCGATGTGTTCAGATACTTATAGTCTACCTGTATATCATTTCCATAATGACCAATACAGAGATCTTGGGTCAATTTTCGAGATTTGGGCAAAGAGTGAATATGTGGTCGATACAACCTCGATAAAGTCTAAAACCAGCCTGGTTCT